TCGAAGCAGCCTGCTAGGGAGGGGAGGCTGTGGGCACACCAGAGCACACACCGCCTTTGGGTGGGAAGCGTTGACTCTTCTCCCTCTTCCTCCTCATGGTCAGGATTTGTGCCCTCAGCTCAGGAAGGTGTTTCTTGTTCCCAGAGGAATAATGACAATTGCTGTGCAGTGAGGCAGAGACGAGAATAACTCAAATAAGGCCAAAAGAGAGCTGAGTGCCCTTCTCCACACCGACGGAGGCTCCACATGCCCCCATTGCTGGCAGAGGCTTCCTTTGCTGTTTGGGGAGACTGGAAGTAACAGCCTCAGTAAAACAGGTCAGTGGGCACAAGTGTCAGAGCAGGAAGAAAAATGAGCAAAAAAGCTTTATTTCGCACTAATGCCATGGGCCTGAACTCCCAGGCTGCATGTAGGCAGGTGCAGATGTTGAACAGGAAGGAAAAAGCATGGGCCAAGAGTCACTTTTCACAAAGTCCAGGAAAATTAATCATCTGTTTGCATCACATTTCATCACGCTAATAAAGCCAACTGAGCTACAACATTTTCTACAAGCCGAAGATGTTTGTCACCCTTTCCAAAGAGAAGGGAAGACATCCAAATCCTTTTGCAGTTTTGAGTGCTTCAGTTTAAAGTAATTGCATCAACAAGAGAAACAGAAAGCGTGCCACAAACAAAGCAAATTCTTGATTATTCCAACACTTTTGTTTTGGCTTTAATGAAATGAATAGTTCAACAATTAGCTATTAGTCTGCAACAGGTTCCAGTTCTCACAATTTGCCTCCAATCTCAGCTCCCATTTGTATTGCCATTTGATTACTCTGACTGTTATGTCTAAATCTCTCAACACTTCCATAAACAAGCAAAGCTCTTTAGAAGAAAATACTGTGTTTTCAAAGAGATGCTGAAATAAAAACATGTAAAAAGAAATTCAGGGGTAGAAAAATATCCTATAAAACTAAGCACATGCTTGTTTTATAGCGATTCATTCCAGAATCCATTGCAACAGACAAGACCAAGATCAATATCCCATCAGCAAAGATTGCCTGGGCACTTTGGGAAGGCTGTAACAAGACGCTGCCGCTGACACGCCAGCACTATCTCAGGCACTACCTTCCTTCCCCAGAATCTGGCCTAGAAACCCACACCCCTGAAAAAAAACAGCTCACATCAGTTAATTATCACACTTTATAGGCAATCTTTCTGTATTTAAAACACACTGTGTGACCAGAGTAATTCAATATTAAAAAAAAAAAAAAAAAAAAAAAAACAGAAAAAAAACAGAGTGGGATATATTCCCTCCTCAAAACAAACTTTTGCACTGTTTGAACTTCCTCACACCCCTGACCAGGGATTGTGAAGGCCTCGCAGGTCTGCAAGGTGAAGCAGAGGACTGAGCTGGAGATACTACCACAGTCAGACCAAAGATGCTCTACCTTAATCAAATCATGAGCCCTGCATGGCACAGACTCACCTTTGGTTCCCACAATACAGGGCTGAGCAGTAGCGTAGCACAGTTTTGACAGTCTGATCCGTTATTTGCAGACAAGAACACTATCTAGTACAAGTCAAGTCCCCCCAGGTCAGGGAATCAGTCCTGTTCTCCCTTTCTTTTACCACTTTGCTGCCAGCTTTCTCCCATTTCCACTTTCTACAGATAAAGCAGATGAGCTGACTCAGGCCTTTGCCTCCCAATTCTGCATGCTATCACTGTAATTCCCACTGGAAGCCAGTTATGGAGCCTAACAATGAGGAAAACAGAAGGAAAGATCCCCAAACTGAAAAAACACCATGTTGTAGAAGACCAAAACAAGTGCTTGAAGTTGTCCCTCACATCCCTAGGTGGCTGTTACCTCTGTTTGCAAACAGACAAGATTTTCTTCAAATTATTAAACTGATTTCTGGTGCAGATCATTCTGGCAGACACATGAAGTACTGCTATATCAAATCCAGCCTCTCAGATTCAAGAGGAGAAAGATTCTCCACCCTTAGCTGCGAGCTGGGCTCACATGCCAGCACCTCCCTAGCAATCGCCTTACTCTGTGCCAACCTGCCTGAAATTGAAAATCTAACTCACTAGTGGCTTGGAAGCCAAAGCAGGGAAAGAGAGGAACAGACAGCAGGGCAAGAACTCACATTATTGAGAAATCCTCAGTCTGCCTTTAACTGTCTCAGCAACACGGTGTCTCTACCTCAAGGACATGCTTGGTGCCCGCTGTTGGACGGCTCTGATGGCTGAGCTTCTGAGGCCCCAAACCTTGGTGCTCGTGCAAACTGAAGCCACTGGCTCGATAAGCTTCAGTGAGAGCAACGCTGTACGTTTCAAAGCCAGAAGGCAAGTTCAGTGCTGCTGTTGCATTTTCATCTGGTGCTTTAGTCTGTCCTCATTCAGGGACTCATGATCAGCATATTTAAAATTCAATTAGGAAGAGATAAAACCGTAGGATAAGTACAGTCAAAGCTGCAGACTTCTATTTGCCTTTTTTCAGCTGGCTGTTCAGTCACTATGCACTCAGACTACTCAAATGGGTTTTAAGTCTGCAGGCCTTTGAAGACTTCAGGTCAAACACAGAACAACTGCAGCAGGCTGAAAGTTTTGGCAGTTTATAATTGTCCGTTAGGGGTTCTCTTGTGGGTAATTATGAGATTCTCTTTTACAATTCAACTAATTTCCACAACTTCCTTCATCCACTAATATCACTGATCCTCTGACCTAAGCCCTGCAAGGGTGTCCTCATGGACATGAAGCAGCAGAGGAAAGCAGAAGTGCCCTGTTACCTTCTTCATGCTTTCCAAAGGATCTGTTACACTCCGGTTACTTCCATTGCTGTATTCCCAACCGCTTCAGTTCCAGGCTAAGGCAGCAATCAAGCACATGTTTCTACTCAAGACTGCATGAATAACCTAACTGACATTAAACAGAGCAACTAATCCAATAACTCTTCTAACTTTTATACTTAAATCACATACCCAGCTACACTTCATCTCAATGCAGAGAAACTGAATTTCAAGTCCTAGATCAAATAGCTTCAAACTCTCAAAGAGTCTGAAATCCAAGCCTAGGAGCAAAGAGCAAGTGGAGATTTCTTTTTTGGTTTCTATGGAAGCAAGTCTCATGTCTATTTGTTAAACTGGCTAACCCTACGACTCAGATTTTTCTAGTAGAAGACTTGTTAACATCCATAGATGTTAATAGATGTTAACTTGTCCTGCAGTGTAAGGACAAGCATTATTCTGAGGGGGTTCTTCACATCACTGCAACATGGCCAAGACAATCCATTAAGTGAAACAACTATATTCAAAAGATAGCTGTAATTTTATTAGCTGTTTTGTGGCAGACAATCTGAGGCTAGAAGATTTAAATAGACAGTGTATTTTATTAAACCAATTGATGGAACTGGAAAAAAAAAGACAAGCTTTCAGACATATAAGGCACAAAGATACCTGTCCCCATTATAGCAGCCTAATAAAATATATAACTACTTACTATAAACCTTGCTTCTCTGAGATTTTAGTCATTGCTAATCCAACAGCCTTTTTCTTCAAATGACTCATGCTGCCTATTTTCTTCTTTTCTTGTTGCTCACAGAAGTTACACATCTCAGCTGTACAAGAACCCCAGTACACAAGAGGCTTCTGGAGCACATCAGACACTTAAACCAGCACTGTGCTAGTGCTGACTGCTCACATTATCACTGCTGCCTCCAGCTGCATTGGCATGAGGATGCCATTGCCTCTGGGGTGGAGTGATTAGCACAAGGCTACTCCTATTCCTGTGACTTCCAACAGCTGAGTCCCCACACCCAGAAAAACATGTAAATATCCTATTGATTTCATGAGAGCCTCACCTGAGTTTCTCTGATTGCAATTCCTCAATTTTTTGTCTGTTCCTTTCCATATGATACTGCCAAGATACTTCACCTTAGAAGCAGCGTAATAACGTCTCCTCTGAGGGGGGATGTGCATCTTGCTCACATATGTCAAAGGTTCCCTTAAAAATATCTCCTGTGACCTTGATGCAGATTTCATCTGTTATTGTACACTCAGTTTAGCTCCGGTCTTGCCTTTTTGCAGTCCTGTCCTAAAAAGTCAACTAGATATCTTTTCATTCACTTGCAACATATTGAGTGACCTTGGCAATAGTCTAATCTATCTTGGCAGATTCAAGATAGAGAAAACAAGCAATAGCGACAGACCTGCTGGTTTCTGCTATTGATCAGCGACTTGAGTGAAAGCTCATTACAAGCAGAGGGGACGTGTCAGGTACAAGTCCTTACAGAGCAGAAGATTGAGATGAAGAAACTCCTAAGCAAAGGAAGGGTGGCTATGTGTTGCTTCTGGAGGGGAAGGAATGGCCACAGAAAGGAAGAAAAGGGCAAGGTAAGAACGAGGAGCAGACAATAATTCACATGTGAGGCTGTGCATTAAAAACTCCCAGTTAAGTGAGCTGTTAGTTTACTTAGCTAGAAGAGTAAAGCATCCTTAACTTCAAAGTTTTATACATCAAATTTTACAACAAAAAAGGCCAAAGTCTTAAGAAAATAGCAGTAATATTGTTTTTGTTACACACAGAAACTCATCCATGATACCTAATGACACAACAATAGTTAAATGAACTCTGATTACTTCATTGGCAGTCAAAAGTATGGAAATGCATCAGTATGACTACTTGATTAGTGCTGCCTTGCCTTGAGACAGGGAGTTCTTGTTGTGTCTTTTCATTTTAAAAAATAAAAAAAAATACTCCATAAAAGCACATCTACTGTGACCCAGTGCATCCTCCCTAGCCTCCCCAGAGGGCACGCTGGCAATCACTTCAGGCTGTTTGGCACTTACTTATTTCCTCGGACTGCCTTTGTGCCCCAAGCACAACAAAGACACCGCGTAGTCATCTCTGTATTTTATGGGGTGAGGGCAGAATATAACTGACCTGCCTGCCACAAGGTGCCCCCAGCAAAGCACTGCACGGTCACTGAGAGCGATGGCACTGAAGTTTCACCCACCTCCAGGACATGAACTGGGCACCACGAGGGGTATTTTCTCCTGTGCCAGAGCTGTTCGGAGCATACAGACCAGGAGCAGTTCCTCAGTTCGGGACATCACTCAGAGTCTCTCCTCACAGCAGGAAACGATTCAAATGATCAGCACTGCAGCCTGGGCTCTTAACTTGGTTTCATCTGTGGAGTTAACCCACACCAATGTTTTTCACTGGCACTTTTCTGTTATAGCTTAAGAAAATATAGCCATGATTCCTGCTACCAGAGGGCAGCTTACCCTCCAACCTGTATGAGTCAAACATGTCAAAATTTCACATTTAGCTCTATTTTCAGATGTGAAATGGAGATAGATGAAAAGGAAAGTTTCTAGCATCCAGCTGAGAACAAGAGTATATGACATCGAAGGATGTTTGCTGCTTCCAGATTTCATACCAGTCAAAAATATAAGGGAGAAGGAGGAGACCAAATAATGGAGTAATTGAAAACAACTGTGAGTAGGCATGCACAGAGAAGGGAAGGTGGCAGCACAGCACAAATCTTACACAGGAAGCCTGATTTCTTTCACATTCTTGAGTTTTAAAAATCTAACCCTAGATCACTTTACTGCATCTGCATGGTCGTCTTTGCAGGGTTTGTTAGGTCAAAAGACAGACTTAGTCTTCGTCCCGCCAATCATGTCAAAACAAGCAAAAAAAACTCTTGATAAAAATTAGAGCAAGACATCAAAGGGAGGGAAATCACGTAGCAGGACTCTGGGGAGAGATATCTAGCAAGTGAGCGAGCAGTCATGTACTGTGTGTGCAGCTGATCCACCCCGCTAAATGCCAGCTCCACTAAAGGTCACCGCTGTATCGATTCCTCAGCACGTTAATGTAGGTGATTCTGTACTGCAGTTCTGTTCATGACAGATCACACAGTCAAACAATTTAACATAGTGATGAAGGGCGGGCAGAAAGAACAAAAGGTGCTATTTCTATCCAGACATATTAGCAGTAAGTTAAATGACATCAAACCATAAACGCATTAATATATGGGAACAGAATGCATTATGCATTCACACTGCAATCAAATAAAGCAAATATCTTCTCTCTATGTACCATATGTACATATTGTATATATTCATGTGCAAGCAGGTATCATCAGCTCTGACATCCCCAGGGGGTGGATCAGACCTTTTGTTTTAGTCTTACAAATGACTTTAAAAAAAAGCAAAACCAGTAACCTAAATTGTTCATTGTGACTTAACCCTTGGCAAGAGTTAATAAATGATAAAATGATAGAGAGGAAAAGTCATGGTAAAACAGCCTATGGTATTTCATGGAAACAATTTTTTGTTAATTGCTAATTAGTTAATGATAGCAGGACGTAATGGAGTAGGTGACACAAAAGATTAGGAAATAAACATTTGATTAGTATATGTATTTATATTGAATTACCAGCCAACTAAGGGTTTGTTTTCTATTGATTTTTGCATTTAAACCCACCTCACAGATGCAGCATGACTAAGTGAAACTAGATGAATGGCTTATGAAATGATCAGGTGTGCTGGAGGGGTACTTCAATGACTTACTGGCAATGGCATATTTTGTGGCCTTGACCAGTTTACAGCATTTCATTTCTTTGTTTTTGGGGGTGGGAGAGATGGGAGGTTTAGAATTTGAAACACTTCAGATACAAAAAAAAAAAAAAAAAAAAAGAGAGCTGCTTTTATTTAACAAAAAATAAGTCTGGAAACAAATGCTTTATTTAATAAGTTTCAGTAGCCTTAATGACAAAAAAAAAAAAAAAAAAAAAAAAAAAAAAAAGGCTCTACAGGTTTTTTTATAGCTTTCTGTAGAATTGATTCTCACTTTATGCCCTTCTACCAAAGCATCACTACTACATAACCAATGAAAAATTTAAGAACTCCAAACCAAATCGGATACTGTCTCCAGACCTGTGAGCAGGTACACAGCAATACAGCGTATCTGGAGGAATATGAACATAAAACATTGTTCTCAAGATGCCTATAGACTCCAGCTACATCGGCAGCTGTGCTTGAGGGACCAGAGGTAATTGAATTTTCAGTAAAGGGTACATACCAGCGTTTGGCCTGTCTTGATTTAGCTAGAGTTAATCAGATATTTCCAGAATCAGTGACAGACATAATTTAGTGTCCTTGAAACTGCTTTAGCAGAAACTGAATAGAACACCTAACTGAACAGACGAGGAAAAGTCTTGTCAGGAGATACATTCCTTCTTGAAAATAAGTAAGCCCATTCTATTGACTGTTTCCTTTCTCCCCACCACTACTTCTTTTGAGAAGTTTGAAAAGGAGACCAAAAAGTCTGGTTTTCTTTTCTCTTCCCACAGCTCAAGACAGAAGACCCTTGAGACATTTGCCCAGTCCTCAGCTCCCTCGTCCTACCTCCGTGCTGCAGTGGAGAAGTCGCTCAGCTCCCTGCTCCGTGTCAGCTGTCACTCTTCCCAATTCACCTCTAAAGCCAAAAGTTTTATTAAAGTGTTTTTTGTCTGTTTGTTTGTTTTCTATAGGGGGCGTGCAGACAGGGTTGGAGACTTGATCTTACACTCCAATAAATCAGTTGAAGTTTACTGCTTTCCATGGAGAAATTATGGCCAGTCTTCATCAAGACCTCCTATATGGTCAGCCAGTAGATGTTCTAAAAATACTACTTGCAAATAATATCTTCTGTTATTCCAAAATAGCCCATTGGGTCTTGATTCAGCACTACATTAAAACACATCCTTAGCTTAGCTTGATGTCACTGAGAAACTTTTCAGAACTTATGTTTCAATAGAAACTGTGAATACACTGTGTGTATACGTAACAAAACTAGTAGGGAAAATTAATACAGTGTAGGAGGACTGGAAGAAAAGCAATTCTTATTTGCCTGTTTTTAAGAAAAGTTTCAAAAGCTTTGCTTCAAAGCAAAGTATTAATATTTTTCATAAAATATTTATAAATGTTTTATACCATTTTAATAAAATAAGCATATTTTTACAGACAGCTTGGAAATTCTCAATACTGGATTTAATAGAAAATGGGAACCTCTGCTTTGCAGTACTTTGCATCCTTTTGCATAATTTCATGGAAGTGTTTGGTTTTTTCATCAAATTTTACAGGATGATTTCAAAATGCCTCCCAATGATTATAAAATTATACTAAATTTGACAGAGCTTTTTCACAATGGAGAATGGCAGTAAAAAGGATTCATTTTACTTTTTCATTTGCTTCAGAGCTTCCACAGAAACAGGAAAATAAGGCTTAGCCCTGAAGGTCCCAGCTTCTAATTGAGATACTGGGGGAGATCACGTTGTTGGATCCCGTGCAGGTGGTCTGCCAAAGGCACTTGACATTTCTGGGAGAAATTTCTGGGAGAAAGCTATACTGGGTATTGATTGCTGGGGTAACTTTTACCTATGTGTTGGTAAATATAATCCTAAATCATTTGATCAAATATGTTGTTGGATTAGCACAGTGAAAGTATTACAGTCTCTCAGTCTTTTATTCCTATAGGTTGTATATCCTCTCCAGCAAAAAAGGGTTTATTTCCATGTGGAATCCTGTTTTTTTTTTCCTAGTAAACAACAGAAAAGGTCAGCTTTAAAATTAAAGCAATACTTTTACTGGGTTACTCCTGTTCAGTGGATATAGCTGTATTTCTTCAGCACATTAGTATTATTGGATTTCTAAATCACATTTCAGTAGCTTAAAAAATGCAAAACCAATCCAGTGTCAGCAACAATACCAATATTGAACGGAACCATTTAAAATGGGTCAACACCACAATAATATTTTATTTAGGATGCTTATTAATCATGCAGTAAGTATTAGAAAACTGATATACTTGAAATCACTTCCCATGAAGACTTCCTATTGTTTTATATGAATAAAATTGTCACAGCATCATAAAAATATAGGCCTAAAGCATTCCACCAGTCCTCACACTGACACAAAGAAGAATTAACTACACTGAAGGCATTCTCAGCATATCCTCTTCTTAAAAATAAAAGAAAGCAAAACCACCACAACTCCTAAAATATAAAACCTCTAGAAACAGGGATTCTATGAAATGCTGTGGCCATCTCTTCCAGGATTTAGCTCCCATTGTACTTATTTTTTTCTTATTAGCTGATATAAACATCTTTTTTTGCAACTTAAGAGTTTGTTATGTACCCTGGGAACAGAACGTAATAAACTTAATTACCATCCTTATGGCCACACGAGTATGCACACAAACATGAGAAACAATGAAGAGCTGATTTTCCATTCTGAATGTACAATGTTTAATATAAGTTGTAAAATACAAAGGACCAGGCTGTGTGATGTTTATTTGCAATATGGACTACTTGAATCTTTCCAGTCTGTAGGAACCCTGGGGATTAATATACGCGTAACTCAGCGTGTATTCTCCACCCTGGTCTGTCAAACCACAGGCACCATCTCATTTAGACTCACTTATTACTGTAGTTCTGCCAAGTGCCTTACAGTGAATTCCAGAAGGAACACATTAATGTGATACAGCCAACACCTCTGCGGTGATGACATCTTCTCAGATGGGACCTCTCCCTAACACCAAGTTTAATTTAGATGGCAAGTGCTCCATAAGGAATTTGGTTTTAATTGTTTCTAGAGGGCACTTACTAATGAACTTTTATCATCACAGCAATACCTACAGTGATCACTATCAGTGTCCCACACTGCAAAACAGTGATATTCCTTGCCTCCGAAATGGTTGTCTCGTTTACTTACTGAACACATATGGCTTGGGGAAGGTACAGAAAGGCATTCCAGCAAAGGAAATGCAATGAGTGTCATCAAGCTGCCAGTATGTTTCGTTTAGTGGTATAAAGAAGATGAGAACAAAGTGATAAGGGAAAAAAAAGAAAACAACTCACTGAAGAGTCGCCTACCAACACTCAAACACCTGTACGTCAAAGAGGGAATGAAGGCTAAACAAAAAATAAATTAATAAATAAATAAATAAATAAAAATAAAAATCCATTTATACCCTGTAGTCAGTAAAGCAGACTGCAAGCAATTCTGAAATGTATGAGAAAGTGTCACTCAGGTCCCCCCCCCACGGCTGCAGTAAAGGAGACAAACACCTGCGTATACAGACTCTACTTACCTTTTCATAAGAGCAACCATAAGAAGTGCTTTGTTCTATATTTAAGACCATGACGTGCTAAAAGAAAAGATTTTTACTGTCTTCTTTATATGAGAAAAGCACTTCTGTGTTTAAAAGGACTGTTGTTACACTCCGGATATTCCCAACTACCTAAGAACTGCTGCACTGCTTTGACAAGCGTACTGAGAGCTGTTGAAATATCATTAAATTGTAACAAAACAGATTGCTCATAAGCAATAACAAACACAAGTTGCCCTGGTACCCTTGCAAACAAAGA